TAAATTTTTTAAATTTTTTTATTAATGAAAATGTTGTTATTTGTGAATAAAATAAAAAAAAAAACTAACAGATGCGCTCGGAATTGCGTGAGATAATATGATCTAACTAAAATTTTTTTTTTGTTGCACTACTTATGATCGCCAGTGTATAGAATTATTGTAAATTTAGAATCTACTTAGGTTGATTTCGAATAAATATAGGCTGTAATAAAATTCTAAATTGTATTCGAGTTGTAAAAAAATTCGAATTCAACTTACAATAAAATTATGTAAATTATAATTTATTTTATCGAATATCTCGTTTCAGAATTTAAATGCGAAAAATCTCAAATTAATTAAATGTTTCAAAAACTATAAAAGCAATTGCTGTTCCAAGTAAAATCCAAGAATAACTTTCTTTAAGCATAGATCTCAAATATCAAATTTTAGTATAGACATTTTATAATACAAAATAATAATTATAAGTGTAATAAATAATTATAAACTAATATAAATGTTAAATCAACCTTTTTTAACAATTTTAAATACTTCATAATCATCTACTAAAAACCACCCGTCAGTTTCTCTAATTGGAGTATAATAATTAGAGTTTTTATAATACCATTTTTTAAGATCACCACTTGATCCAAATTGCGGAAGTGAATCCATATTGTCGACAAATAATTTAAATGGTTCATCTTTAGATAATCTATGAGATGGCTTACCGTTAAATAATTTATAAAATGATCCATCAAATAATTTATCAAATGAACTACTAAATGATATTCTAAATGGTCTATTAAAATCTGTTGCTTTGCTAAGAATAGATTCTTTCTGGGTTTCATTTTTTAAAGAGAAAATAAAATTTTCATTTTGATTTCCATGAGAAACAAATCTACCGATTATCTCGTTTGTTTTACTAACTTTTAAAATAACTACTTTATCAAACCAATCAGGAAGTGGTTTACTTGTAAATCCATCCCTACTGCCTCTAAATAACAGCTCGAACTCATATGGAATTTCTGAAACATCATAATAATGAGTCTCGGAATTTTTATCAATCCAGCTTGAAATCTCTGCAGTATGTTCCAAAGTAATTATAGAAGAAAATGGTGCGAGAATAGGTAATTGCCGAAGAGGAAGTTGAACAAACATCTTTTTACGAGAAGGTAAAATTAAAGATGTTATAGCTTTATTTGGGGCTAATAATTTGGTCATTATATCATCACACAAGATCTTTCCAAGCATTTTTTGATAAGGTAGGATTTTATCTAAGAAATCTTCACCGGGAATCTGAAAATATCGAATATGAGGAAGACAATGCTGAAGAGTAATTTTCAAAGAATTGAAATCCTCATCAGTCCATTGTTCAAGATTAGATGGTAAATCTTGAATTTGTGCTTTCCCCCAAAGAATAACCTTATCCCAAATTTCAGATTCATTCATTTGCAAATCATCACGTTTTAAAAGGGAAATCAAAGCACTTTCCTGAAGGGTAATGAAGTCTTCAGAATCAAAGGCCAAGTTTGGATGTTTTACAAGAATATCATTGCAAAACTGTTGCAAAATTTTGAGATTTTCATTTTGAAAACTAAATTGATGAATTCGAGAAAAATTGAATTTTATCCAAGATGCATTATCATTAACAAGATGAGATTGAAGAGATTCAACTAATTCTGAGAATTTAAATTCGTTGAAAGTGGTTAAGAGATCAAATAGAACTGAAGGATCAGAAGTTTCTAAAGAGATTATACCACCATAGATATATCTTTAATAACGAATATTTATTTAAATATTAATTTTTATTTTTAAATCGTAAAAAATAATATAATCATAAACGAATAATGTAGCTTACCTAATAATATGATTAAATATTTGGGCAGAGACATGAGGTAACTTAATTTCAATAATGTTATTTTTCTTGATTGCATTTGCCAACTTTTGTTGAAAGTATAATGAGCGCTGATACAAGATTAATGAATGTGCTTTAAAAAGTTGGGCATTTTGTCCATCGCCAACTTCAATTATTACATTATAATCGTATTCACTTTCAAGAAGTTGAGTAAAGTCTTGAGAAAGTTTATCAAAAATCTTTACATCCATTTTGCTGATTTTGGAGGGTAGAAATTACTTCAAAGCGATTATCACACACGTACGTACTGTACGTACTGTACGTACGTATATAGTACAGAAGGACCTCAAGCTATACATAATAGGTCAGGTTCAAAAATGCCTATTTTTGACAAAAATTCGGAGCTTCTCTTAAAATTTTCTTTATTGGTATCCTTTGACTTATTAACGAATTGCTCGCAGGGACAATGATTTCTGTGTTTAATTTAATACCGCAGAATTATAGATTGTGGATAAATCACCACAAAATCTTTCATAATTAAAGAAATTTGTGCAGTACCACCGTTGTATTACAAGAAAACAAATACAATTTCGCTATAATTTAATTAAAGGAGTGCATATATTCTCCACACTTCTATTTATATATGTAAATACATAGATATGTACGTATGTACATTAAATTGATTCAAGACCGCTAGCTTAAAAAGTAAAATAATGGAATTCATAGTTATGTATAAAAAAATAATAATAATGATGCCAAAATTAGTACGACTATGCAAAAAAATAAAGTTGCTCAACCTAGTGTTTAAATTCATGCAACAAAGAATAGTTTTAAATTGATTATACAGTAATGAATTCTTAAAATACATAAATGAAATAGAAAGTGTAAAAGATTTTGCAAAAGAATCTAAATATTATCAATAACGTTCTCTTACCTTCAGGTTATTAATGATCATATTTTTTTTAATCTCTGAGATTATGCAATGTTCACAACTCGCATATTTCATATAATGATATTGCATATCACGTGCATCAAGCATTCTTATTATCTGGCATGATGTAACGTAGTGTTCCGAGTTGGTAAAATTTCGCCAATCGATTAGTTGCCAACTATAGTTGCAACTAATCGATTATGAGATCA